TTAGACAAGTTAAGACTCACCTGGATTTGGTTGAGGAATGCCATTTAATTCAAGGGGAACATAAATGAGCCAACCAATATCTATAATATTTGGAGTAGCCTTTAGATAAGGGTTCAACCCTTCTATTTCACTGATTTGAGCTGTGAGTAAAGCACTTATACTGGACAATGTATCCTTTGGCTGAACAGTGTATGTGACCACAGTCTGAGTCTCCTTCTCCACACACCCACACAATAGATTCATCGTTACATTCTTTCCAGCCTTGTAACTTGCTTCTTCTCCCCCAACCTTCCAAATCTGCCCACTGAACTTCCCTATGGAAACGTTTTCAAAGGAATCATTTTCCTCTAGCTGGTAAACTGTTTCATAAAAGTAAGCTTGGGTGCCATTCACGTCTTTGCAAGTACAAGGCACTGTCACAAGCTCATCTTCTCTCTCACCATTAACGTTGTTGTGGTATGATATAGTTTTGATTTGGGATTTTTTGACTGAGTAGAGATTGGCGATCTCATCAACTTGGAGTCCATTGTGCTGGTATAGTATAGAGCTACATGTGTTGTTCAGGTTAGAGCAAGAAAAGGGGTAGATACGAGAGATCTGAACCGGTGAAGTAGCAGCCAAAGGGAACACTAAAACAAGAAGAAGAGGAATGAAGATCTGAGAAGAAGCCATAAAAAGTTGAGAATAGTGGTGCCTGTCTTGTTGTTAAAGGAATTGGAAGAAGCAAAGCACCAGAAATGATCATTTTAGGGAGGAGGCCGGAAATCTAGAAGGAGAACACATTGTTCCAATTTTTTTAATTTTTTTTTTCGATTTAAAACATGGGTGATCCTAGAGCCACGGGCAAAGTAGAGCAGTCAAAACCGACCGGCACAACTAGCTGGCCAAAAAAAGCCCGCTCTTTGGCGGTTCTAGGTTTTGCTGGTCCGCGGGCTAGGTCGACTCTTGCCACCCGGCCTTTGTTTTTTATTTTTTTTTTCTTTTGGTATTCCTATTCTTAAATTTTTAGTTTGTTGTTTTGTTAAGTTTTACCATTGTTACACTACTATAAAAATAATCAAAATAACTTGTTACATAAGTACTATTATTTAAATTTTAAAATAATAAACAATAATTTTAAAGTCCATAGTCTAAAATTATAAAACATTAAACAATAATCCTAAAGTTCATCAAATATATATATATATATATATATATATATATATATATATATATATATGGGGAAGGGATCAGGAGGGGGGGGGGGGGGGGGGGGGGCTTTTTGTGCGGTTGTGCAGGTGGACGCACATTAAGCATTAAACTGACGCACTTAAAGTACACAACAAACACACATTAAGTATTAAACTGACGCATTTAAAGTACACAATACATGCACATTAAGCACACAAACAAAACACCTTCTGAACACAAACCCACGCACCTTAAGCACAAAACTCATGCACCTTAACAGGGCGTTTGGTTGGAGGGATTTTAAATTCCCTTCCCACTTAATTCCCACCTAATTCCAAAGGCTATTAAATTTCGTAGTTTGGTTGGAGGGAATTACAATTCCATGGAATTGCAATTCCCCCATTTTCATGGAATTAAAATCCCATGTCCCCCCCTGGGATTTTAATTCCTAAGAAAAAAAGATAGTGATGAGTCAAAATTATCCCTTCCTTTTTTAACCTAAAATTAATGTCTAACAACAATAATGGACATTTTTGACTTTATACTACTTATTCCCTTTCAATTCCCATGTATACCAAACATTGGAATTGAAATTCCCAGTAATTCTATTCCTTTCAACCAAACACTGGAATTTAAATTCTCACTTTATTCCCAGTAATTCAACTCTCATGGAATTACAATTCCTTTCCCACATAATTCCCCCCTCCAACCAAACGCCCTGTAAGTTTCAACAACTACTCATATTAAGAACACAAATCCCACACACATTAAGCACAAACACACGCACCTTAAGCACAAAACTCACGCACCTTAAGTTTCAACACTACTCACATTAAGTACATACTCACACACCTTAAGCAGAAAACTCACGCACCTTAAGCATAAGATTCACGCACTTTTAGTACAAAACTCAAGCACATTAAAATCACACAATCGCACGGAAAGCATTCACCCACACTGGAACTTAATTTTTATATATATATATATATATATATATATATATATATATATATATATATATATATATATATATATATATATATATATATATATGGCCACTCTGGTGGGCTTGCGGGCCTAGGCAGGACGGGCCAAAAAAAAAATGCTCTTTGACGAGTCTATTTTTTAAACGCACGCCCTACCTAAGAAGGGGCCGGGGTAGAACAGCCTGGTGGGTACAGCCTATTTTGACGGCTCTACTGCAAAAGTAAATCACGAGTCACACAATCAGCTCATCGATTAGATCCTAATCTTTATTTGTACATAACATCCATACCTTACAACATTCTTGGACCCTTTTCACATACATGCTTCCATTAATGGAATTTGAAGCCCACACTGTTGCCCCCCCCCCCTCCATAACTACCTTTAATTTGTCAGTACATTGTTGTAGTTAGTTCATTCAAATCTACTTGTATTAATTGCCTGCAAGGCTGCAATATTAAAATGGATGGAGAATTTAACACAGAACATATATATAGTGACACATACATGCATAGGTACCAACAACAAACATAAGAAAAATAAATTAAAGCACAATTTGTAAGTATCCAATTGTAGTTTACAATTAATGTCTCTCTCATCCAGCTAGTAAAGTTTTATTTGAATAAAAATAATGACGTCCGCCTGGTATTCACAATGTCTGCATCAATATAATGGCTGAATGGCACTACACCTATTCTTTTCTATGCAAGTTCACCCTTTTGGGCTGCAGAATCTTACTAGTTTTAGCTGCGTGACAGTGATTTCTTTATTTTGCAATGTTGTCATATAGGCTAAAAAGTTGTTAGGCAAAGGCAAGTGAAAGGCCAAGTCTAACACTAAGTAATCAGGTGATTGTTTAATTTGGGAAAAATTTAAAGAGTTAAATTTAACACCATATTTCTTGAAAATGTGACGGACTAAGAAAAAATATTAAAGTTATATCTTCACTACTAAGTACTGATGAGAATCCAAATTCAATTCAGTTACCAGTAGATAGGATTACAGAAGTGTATATCAAGGTCTACCTCTAAACTCTCCTATCTACTAGGCTATTACATTAGACTTAATCTAACACCACATATTAACTACTATAGACTATAATAATAATAACAATAATTATTAATAACACTCACACACCCCCTCAAGCGGAAGGATGGTGAGAAACAACATGAAGCTTGTCTCGTAGTGTAGTGAACCTCGGACCTGTAAGCGGCTTGGTGAAGATATCAGCTAGCTGGTCCTTGGTTGGTATGAAGTTGACCTTGAAGTCCCCCGTTGCAACCTTGTCACGCACAAAATGATAGTCGATTTCCACATGCTTCGTCCTGGCATGGAACACCGGATTCGCGCACAAATACGTAGCACCTAAGTTATCACAACACAATGTAGCTGGCTCATCGGTGTGCAGGCCTAGTTCACGCAACAGCGAAACAACCCAAGTTACCTCAGCAGCGACATCGGCAAGGGCTTTATACTCAGCTTCGGTTGAAGAGCGGGCGACAGTGCGCTGTTTCCTGGAGAGCCAGGAGATGAGATTAGACCCGAGAAAAACCGCATAAACACTCGTGCTTTTCCTGTCAATAGGACACCCAGCCCAGTCAGAGTCCGAATAAGCATGAATAGTAGTAGTGGAAGAGGCAGTCAGATGTAGTCCATAGTAAAGGGTCCCCTTAATATACCGAAGAATCCGCTTAACCATCGTCCAATGATCGACAGTTGGAGCATGCATGAACTGACACAGACGATTAACTGAAAAGGACAAATCAGGCCGTGTGATAGTGAGATACTGAAGAGCCCCTACAATGCGACGGTACTGCGTCGGATTATCAAACGGTGCCGTAGACGGAGTTGCCGAGTGAGTAACTGAAGCCGGAGTAATCAAAGGTTTACAGTCCACCATTCCAGCCCTAGTAAGCAGATCAGTCATGTAGCGCCGTTGAGACAGAAGCATTCCACTAGGAACATCAACAGTTTCGATGCCCAAGAAGAACCCCGGTTTGCCAAGATCCTGAATTTTAAACACAGTCGCAAGACGGCCCAATAGAGTATCAAGTAGCGAGGTGTTATTGCTCATCATGATGATGTCATCTACATAGACAAGGAGGAAAACCTGTGACGCCTCGGAAGTGAGATAAAAAAGGGAGACATCTGTCTTAGATGAAGAAAACCCTGCAGACAATAAGAAGTCATGCAGCCGTTTGAACCAGGCACGAGGTGCTTGCTTTAAACCGTATAGCGAGCGTTGCAGGTGACAAACATGATTCGGATGAGTAGGATCTTCATAACCCGGTGGTTGTTTCATGTAAACCGTTTCAGCTAGATGGCCATTCAGGAAGGCATTATGAACATCTAGTTGACGTAGGACCCATTTGTTTGTGATTGCTAAGGAGAACAGCATACGAACTGTAGTCGGCTTGACAACGGGGCTAAATGTGTCAAAAAAGTCTTCACCTGCCACTTGATTGAACCCCTTAGCTACTAGGCGTGCCTTATGCCGTTCCACAGTCCCATCTGCGGTACGCTTGGTGCGAAAAACCCACTTGCACCCAATTATATTCATGTTCGGAGCAGGCGGGACTAGACGCCATGTGTTGCAGTAAGGCGTTGAATTCCTGGTCCATAGCATCCCTCCAGTGAGTGTGCCCAACAGCTTGAGAGTAGCAAGTTGGGTCCGCTGTGACTGTGGTGGTTAGGGCTTGAAATTCCTCACTATTGCCATGAGTCATGTGCCATAACCGCATAACATGGCCGCAGTCTTGAGGTTGTGCTCGACCCCGACCCCGACCCGAGGCCTACCTCGTCCACGAGCCGTAGGAGCAGGTGGCTCAATGGCTAAAGGAGGTGACTCATGAGCTAGGTTCAGGATCAGGAACCAGGGCAGGAGTGCACCCAGTACCCTGTATTGGTACGACGGGTGCAGAAGCCCACGGCACGGGTTGTGACTCGTCCACTTGTGGTAAACAACCTGTTGCAAAGGGAAACACAGATTCGTCAAAACGAACATGGCGACAGGTATAAGTTTTCCCACTGATTAGATCCATGCACCTATATCCCCTAAAGGATGGTGGGTAACCTAAGAAGACACACGGAGTGGAACGGTACTCGATTTTATTGCGGTTGTAGGGTCTTAGGTATGGGTAGCATTGACACCCAAAGACCTTTAAGAATGGATATGGAGGGAGCTTTTTGTATAGTTTATAGTATGGGCTTTCAAAGTTTATAGCAGAAGAGGGTAGATAATTGATTAAGCACGTTGCAGTCTCAAAGGCAAAATCCCAATATTGTTATGGGACCGACCCTTGAGCAAGAAGAGCCAAGCCCGTTTCGACAATGTGTCTATTGCGGCGCTCAACTCTTCCATTTTGTTCGTGCGTATATGCGCAGGATTGACGGTGATTTATCCCGAGAGTTTCAAAGGTGGTATGCAGTTTGCGATACTCACCCCCTAGATCGGACTGAATAGATTTGATAGAGCGCGAAAACTGCCGCTCTACCAAGACACGAAACAAATTAAATATTTTATAGATGTCTGATTTTACCCTTAATGGATAAAACCAGGTGAATCGAGAAAAATCATCAACGAGCAACAAAAAATACCGAAAGCCACTAGACGAGATAATTGGAGCAGGCCCCCAAATATCCGTATAAACTAAATCTAGTACATTTTCGCTTGATTTATCAATTCTATTTAAAGGAAAGCGACAAGACTTGTCAAGATGGCAAGCAGTACATGACTCTAAACTGACATTATTGTGCTGAACTAGACAGTGTTTTAGAACTTTATTCTGAACGACACGGTGAGGATGACCAAGCCTGCGATGCCATATTGTTGGCGTAGACGAGACGTGAGGAACGCAAAATGACTCCGGGACACGGTAACTTGTATAGACCTCCAGAGGTAGGACCTTTAAGCAATATTGCCTTGGTGTTGGAATCCTTCACAATGAAACAATTTGAGTGAAATTCAAAAAACACATGATTTTCAGTGGCAAATTTCTGGACAGACAATAATGGGACAGTTAAATTAGGGACATGTAACACATTTGACAGAAACAACTGTTTAGACTCAGGCGGGATTGATGCATGGCCAACCCGAGAGATTACTAAACCTGTACCATTCCCAACTCGGAGTGTGTCCGGGCCATTGTATTCATCCGAGGTGGTCAGCATGCCTGCATCCGGGGTCGCATGTGCCGTAGCGCCTGTATTGGGATACCACGACTCGGGCGGTGGTGCGGTGGTTGCCGGCGATTCTCCTGAAACCGCGACATGTGCCTGGGCCGGCGGTTGCGTGGTGTACCTTTTGTAGCAATACACCGCAGTATGCCCCTGAGCCCTGCAGATTTGGCACCTCGGCACACCGCGCCCACCTCGACCACCGCACTGGTTGCGCCCGCCTCGGCCGCCGCGATGATTCCGTCCTCCGCCATCACCATTCTGCCCAGTACTGCCTCGGCTATTCTGCTGCGGATTCCGACCAGCATAGAATGCAGCGTGCGTCGATCCACCATTGCCACCACCAGCGCCGAATTCATCTGCAAGTATGAAATCAGCAGCCTGCAAATAATCAGCTAACTGGGGAAGAGAAACCGGGGTGTTGGCGGTGAGGGCAGCAGCGTACGAGCGGTATTCTGGCCGCAATCCACGGAGGACATACAAATTCTGTTCGGACATGGTGAGCGGCTGTCCGGCTTGCGCAAGGACTTCTACCAATAACTCCGCCCGGCCGAGATATTCTGTGGGTGTGGCGTTACCTTGTCGAAGGGCCTGGAACTGTCCAAGCAGGTTCAGGCATCTCGCCTGAGTCGTGGATCCTAGCGCCGTGCACACCGAGTGCCACACCTCCGCCGCGGTAGACCGGCCAACTGCGAGGTGGAGAACCTCATCCGACATCGCCGAGATCAACAGGGACAAGATGGATTGATCTTGGCGCACCCACTGCTTGTACACCGGATTCGGCGCCGGGGTGGCGATTGTCGCATCGGAGCCGGAGTCGCCGCCCGTGGTGGTGAGCGTCGCCGACGGACACGGATGGGTTCCATCAATGAAACCCTCCAATTCCTGCCCCCGTAGGAACGGAATGATCTGAGTCTTCCAAAACAAAAAGTTCCGGGAATTGAGTTTCATTGAAATAAAGTAGTGTGCTCCCGCTAATGGATTTGATCCGGCCGAGGACGGGCCATCGGCGGGAATGGGAGAGCGTTGGGAGGAGTTCGACGACATGGGAATTTTGGGTACAATGGTTTTTCGAATTTGGAGGAGAGAGAAAAGAGTTTTGGATCGATTAGGCTGATACCAGATGAGAATTCAAATTCAATTCAGTTACCGGTAGATAGGATTACAGAAGTGTATATCAAAGTCTACCTCTAAACTCTCCTATCTACTAGGCTATTACATTAGACTTAATCTAACACCACATATTAACTACTATAGACTATAATAATAATAATAATTATTATTATTATTAATAATACTCACAGTACTAACTATAAATTTTGATATAGTGGTAAACACTTAATTCTAAGAACTAGTATCAGAGCCTCTTCTTAGTTTAGATGTTCTAAAGTTTCAATGCGAAATTCACAGCTTTTAGTGTTTTAGTGCATGGAATTTATGAAAACACTACACTAGATGAAGCCAAATATTAACAAATACATGTAGATCAGAGAGTAGCAGTAACAGTTAAATATTCGCCCACTTTGATAAAATAGTTAGCCTATCAATTAATTTTGACTTGTTTAATTACAATCGTTATGCTGTGCATCCGTATGCACCATGCATGGTGCATATGGATGTCAAAACGACGTCGTTTTATTAAAAAACGCGCGTCTCCCCTTTAAAAAAAATTCAAGTTCGATTCCCAGCAATAACATTATATTGTTCATTCATTCTGGAATTTTAATTCATAGGTTATAGAATTATAGTTCATTGATTATGGAATTATAGTTCATCGATTATGGAATTGTAGTTCATCGATTCTGAAATTTTAGTTTATAGATTATGGAATTTTAGTTCATTCATTCTGGAATTTTTAGTTTATAGATTAGATTATGGAATTATAGTTCATCGATTATGGAATTATAGTTCATCGATTATGGAATTTTAGTTCATATGTTGTTGCTGGAAATCGAACCTGATTTTTTTTTTTTAAGGGGAGACACGCGTTTTATTAAAACGACGTCGTTTTGGCATTCGTATGCACCATGCATGGTGCATACGGATGCACAACATAATTTGCCGTTTAATTATTACTAGTATTTCATATGCGTGATGCGCAAAAATATATGCCCAATATTAATATTTAATGTTAAAATCTTAGTTATATAAATGTGTGTGTATATATATATATATATATATATATATATATATATATATATAATTGTAGAATTCATAATAATATTAATGAAGTAAGAATTATAGAAATGATATATTACTAAATATAACTATGGTAATATTTAATTAAGATCTAAATAAAATCAAACTTACCAATTGAAGAATGTAAGAAAAAGATATTGTGTATGCAAGTGTATGATAATAATAATGTGAAAGATAACAGAAGTTATAACGGCAGTGATATTTTTATCAAAATAATTATGTAGTACAACAATTATAGCATAAGGTACAAAAAAGTTAACAGAAAAAACGGACATAAAACCAAGGACATAACCTGAATTGAAACTTATTATGTTTTTAGATTAGTTGTTTGACTTGGTTAAACAACCAATATAAGTGTTTGGTTAATTAACTTTTTTTAACAGTTTATTGTTCCAAAAGACTAAAAGTTCAAAAAGATGCTTAAAGCACCTTTTTCGATTAGCTTTTTGAGAAAGTCATTTTACATATAATCAACTATCAACTAACAGTTAGAGCATCCACATTAGTTGGGGAGAATTTGGGGATAATGTAAGAGTGATTAGGAAAGAGAAAGTGGGAGGGGAGAAAAAAAAGGAAAAAAAAAGGAGGAAAAAACTGAAATTAAAAAAAAAAATAAAACAAAAAGCTGAAGCGTCAGGCGCGCTGTTTCAGCGCGCCTGACGCGTGCAATGCACGCGCCCGTGTGGCCACAGGCTGTGCGCGAAACGCGCACAGCCTGTGTTGCTTAACTTTTTTTACTTTTTCTTTCTTCTGACATTATTTTTGCATTTGCAGGACAAATCTTCTCTCAAATAACCCTACTCCACATCTCTTAATATCTCCATTCAAGTTTATTCATCTGACATTAACCCCTCATTATCCTTTGGTGTGGATGCTCTTAATTTACCGAACATCTTTCTATCAACCAACACTATCAACTAATCAAACACACTAACTCAATCAGCTATTTACCAAACACCCCATTATTTCTCTGAGCAAGTAATGGCTGAGGTACGTGTCAAAGATGTAGTAGCATTGAGTAGAAAACAATATATATATATATATATATATATATATATATATATATATATTAATCAGCCGGCTAACACATGATGCCGGCTACCATTATTGTATACCTACAGCATATCCAATTGGAGCTACTAGTAAAGCGCATCAGAACATTATATTAAATTAGAATTTAGAAGAATACCCCCACCTGCCACTTTACACATTTACGTTAAACCATAGAGGGTTTCTCAATCTGAGAAGTGTGGTTGGTTTCTCAATATCACTTGAGTGCAAACGACTCATCTATTCAATAAAATTAGGTGTAAATAGATTGGAGAGCAAATATCAATTTTAGTCTCATAAATATTAGCAAAATGAAATTTTTTTTTGTCTACATGTTTAATTTTTACCAATTTTAGTCCATGACTATTGTTTTACTACCAATTTTCATCCACAACTTTTATTTTAGTCACAAAATTCATCACGCCGGTTATCCCTTTGTTTAAGACATGTTGAAATATGAAACTATGAAGAGTATTTTCGTCCTTTTTCGAATTAAGATCTCAATTTGAGCATGAATAAAGGAATTTAAGCCCTAAGATTCATCCCAATTCTCAATTCTTCTCTTCAAATTAAGGTAGGATGAGGAAGAGAATTGCAAAATGGGATCGATCTTAGAACTTAAATCTCTTTATTCATTTTCAAATTGGAATCTTAAGTTGAAAAGAACGAAAATACCCTTAAATTTTTTAAATTTTGGCATGTCTTAAACGGATGAGTGACCGACATGATGAATTTTGACACTAAAATAATAGTCGTAGATGAAAATTGGTACTAAAATAATAGTCGTGAATGAAAATTGACACTAAAATAATAATCATGGATAAAAATCGATAAAAATTAAACATGTGAACCAAAATTGTCATTTTGTTAATACTCGTAGGATCAAAATTGGTATTTGCTCATTAGAAAAATCAATTGTTCTTACCATTCTCCTAAAAATTATTTGAATAAAATGTGATTCAAATAATTGAAGCATTTTTATTATAAAAAATTTAACTAAACAGGTAATAATATAATTAAGGTAATAATATTTTAAAGGTCAACCGCTATAACTTTACCATCCTTCTTGGTACATCTCTCATCATTTAGTTTACTAAGTTTGATTTTCACACACTGTTCTTTCCTAAGGAAGTTATATTGGTTATTAGGTCATACACCTATCAAATTTCCCATAAGGAATGGAAATAGGAATCGAAATTGGAATAAGAATCAAATATTTGGTAATGGTAATAAATTAATAATAATAAATTTTGGTGAAAATATTTTGCATGTTTGGTAGTAAGATGAAATTGGAATGATTACTATTGATGTTTGGTTATGTATGATCCTATAATAGGAATAAAGATATTAAAAATATAAAAATAAAAAATTAAGGCAATTGATTCTAATATAATAACATCTAAAGTCCCAATATGAACTAAAAAACAAAAACAAAAAAAAAAATCAAATAAAGAATCTAAAAGCATTAATCCAAACTTAAAAATCAAATTACCCATAAGATTGGAATGATACAATTTTTAATTAAGGAATGGAGTCTTTAATTAAAGAGATAATCAAATCTCATAGTTGTGTTTTAAAAAATTATCAACTAAACACTAACTATAATTTTAATTCCTATTCTTGGTGTATAAATCCATGAACCAAACTCACCCTATATATGTCTTGATGGATTATAAAACTTCTTAATATATGTCTTGATGGATTATAAAACTTCTTAATTAATTACTCTAGTATGCCGAATAAATCTGTGACCCAAATTTATATTTAGATTGAGATCATTAACTCCAACAAATATAATGATAGTAATAGATTATGCGGATTGCATTGTTGGTCATTTTCCCCATTAGTCACGAGAAAATCAGCAAAACTAGTGTCTAATAAACTGGAGAAATGTAATAACCAGCACTTATCTTATGGCACAACTCAAACTAAATATATAAATAGCCAGCACTTTAGACCATCAATTTGGTACCAAAGTCAACCTCATGTCATATACAAACATAAACGTGCAGTCCAACTATAGCTTTAAGTTTTTAGTTGAGATAAGCACATGTTTCAATTAGGGGGAAACACTTTAGCTTAGCTTCTTTTTTTTTTTTTTTTTTTTTTTTTTGTCTTTCTTTTATGTTTTCTCTGCTACTTTAATATCTTGCAATTGTTTTCAAAATGATGTACAAATTTACTTGCATAACTTCTTGGTTTAGTAATCTCAAAAAAATATACAAGTAAGCTATTAGCAATTTAGTCTTGCTACAATGCATTCAGCGATGGATTCACAATGTGAGTTACCTTTCTGGCAGCAACTTTCTGGATGCTTACCGAGTTACAGCATCATGTTGAAGTCTCCAACTCCATTTATAACTTTCTCTACTTTAATCAGCATATCTGTTTAAATTAAAAACCAAAAAAAAAAACACCCAATGAAGGTTCAAGCTTCAAAAGATGCCCAGTGGTGTGTGAGAGTGTGTTTTAGCTTTGCCTGTGGGACAATAGGCACATCTCTGAAATGGCAATAGTCAATTAGTCACTGTTTTTTTTTTTCTTTTCCAGTTTCAAAACAGAAAATTCATCAAAGGAATATTGAACTTCACAATTTCAGAGTGTGACTGTGACCATCTACACTGAAAAAAACTTCATGAAGGAATAAACAGAAAAGGTGAAAGGTCAGACCAAGTGCACTACAGTCCCACATTATGCGTGGGGTCTAGGGATGAAAGATGTGCACAATCTTCTGTTTTCAAAGAGGATAAACAGGTGCCAGAGAAATGAGCAGTGATACATATTCACATACTGATGGT